TGTCGCAGTTGTGTATCCATTGAAGGCTGCAGAGATGCGTAGGAAAAGATGGGGCATCTTGGCTTGTCTGGCTGTCTGGGCTGTTTCGCTGGTGGAGATTGGCCCTATGTTGGGGATGATAACTTTACGGCAAGAAAACAACATAACAGAATGCGTTGACTTTGCCAGTAATAATCCATCGGAGGTATGGTGGTACGGTTGGATACTTACAATGTTTGGATATGTGTTGCCATTGCTGGTGGTGTGCTGGAGCTACACTCGCGTTGCAGGCGCTCTGGGAAGCAGCATATCCAGAAACAGGCCGAGTCGTTCCAGAGTTCGTATGCTTACCATTCTGATTCTGGTGGTGTTTGTGGTGTGCTTCTTGCCATTTCATGTCATGCGTGTACTGAGGGTGGATAGCCTGCGCAGTGCTGGTGTGTCGTGCATGCGGAGAAGAGGCATCCATGCAGCCTACATCTTGTCACGACCACTGGCGGGCCTCAACACCTTCTTCAACCTAGCGCTTTATACACTGGCAGGAGACAAGTTTCAACAGGCTCTCTGGAGTTTTGTGCACAGGGAACGTACAAGCAGCACCATATTTGTGATCCACACACCAAACAACATGTCAAAGACAGACCTCTTAAGGATCTGATATACTGTGTCCTACTGCATATTGTGTGTGTGTGTACTGCATTTTACACACACTATGTTTCAAAAGTTTGGGGTCAGTAATTTCCCATTATGTCTTCACTGTCACATGTTCCTTCAGAAATCATTCTAACATGCTGATTTGGTGCTTAAGAAACATTTCTTATTATTATCAATGTTGAAAACATTTGTACATTTTTGTTAAAAGCGTATGCAAAAACCTATTTATTAAAGGCACACTATGCAAGAATTGTACCTTTATAACAGCTTCAAAGTCATTTCGGTGGTAAACAAACTCATAGTAGGGCGAATCGTCCTGGTAGTAAAGCTTGGGGTGACGCGCTGGAAAAAAAAACAGCAATGCAAGTTTGAGAGGAGTGCCCCCGACAAATCTCGCTAGAATCACAACATGCTTTATGGCAACGACCCACATCAACAACAACGCATGAAGCATTAAGAAGACACTTGCGTGGATTTCAGACGTGATACTCGACAATGGAAAAAGCAAAGAAAACGCGGTCGGAAGAGATTAGTAAAAGGAAAAGATAATCTGACCGCATGAGGAACCAGACAAGAGTTTCACTCGGTCAGGCTTTTCCATAGATTGGTCAGGCTTTTCCTCGTTGGTGCGAGCTAAAAAGCAGCACTGGATGCAACAGAGATGCTGACCTGGCGATCCTGTTGATGGACTAGTACATATTTCTAAGTTTGTGTGCATTTTATTTTGTGATTTCACCGGAATGAATAGAGAGAGTCCGCAACGGTGATAGGTTGAAGAGCGTGTCCGAGTGGAGACTGTACGTGCGCCGGTGACCAGACGTCCTGAAAAATTCGGGACAGTCCCGAAATCTAAGCTGTTGTCCGGAATCTGCTCCTAAGTGTCACAAAAATTATACTAAAGCAAAACCTTATTGTCTGATAAAATATTAAAAACTGTCCGTGGAGGTTAAGTCGGCCCCCGCCGGCGGCTCATTGGCTGCAGCATCTTTTCTGTTTCTTTTTTTGAAGTTCTACAAAGATGTATGCACAAATTTAGATATACGTTGACAAGCAAATTTTCATTCATTCATTTCGTTGACAGGGCTAGTGTATCGGGACCACAACATGCCATTTTTTAGTGGCAGACTAAAGACTAATGGCAGACTGTTGATCTTTGAAAAAAAAAGTTTGGTTCAGGTTTGAAATTCATTATCTTTTATGCTAGTCTAATATCCTAGTAGGCCTATCCATAAACACCCCCCTAGATCTATTATTTAAAGGCACACTATGCAAGAGGCGGAAAGGTCACGCCTCTTACCATAAATTGGAGGTGCATGCGCTGATTGTTATTGTAAAAATGTCAAATGTAAAAACATATTACCACGTCAATGCCTGAATCAGACCCGGAGAACATAGATGAAGAGAATCGATTAGAACCTGTTCAAACACGACTTTTGCAGGATGTTTCACAGTGGTAAGCTGTTTATTTAGTAGTAGTTGTTGTTGTCAGTAGTTGTCATACTTTTAATTGGTTAAATCGTAATGTTAAATGTTACAAACTTTTATAAAAGCTTGTGGTACATGTTTTTTGTTTGTTTTTGTTTTTTGTCTTAACGATGGTATTGTTGAATTTTTAAAATAAATCCAATATTCCTACCTTAGTTACACGTGTGCACAAGTTTTGATTAGTAATATATGTTTAATAGGTGTACATGTAACTGTGACAAAATGCCAACGGAGGTTGAAAACATCTGTTGCAAAGACACCTCCTAATTAAATCTCTTTTATTTTGTATAGTTGTATAGACATATTTTAATTTTGCCAAATTCCATGAAATGCAACATTTCCTAGTGCAGGTGAAAAATCATGACCTTTCTCCAGGTCACTCTAAATCTTTCTTTCTTAATTTCATTTTAGAAATAGGCCTACCTATAATCAGAATTGTATTTGTCACCCATTGAAGAAAATAAATAAAAATAAAAAATGTGAAAAGTAGAATTGTTTGCATATTTTAAGTTAATGCAGTGTTAAACCCACATTTTATGAGCAATCAATGCAGGAATGCATTTTTAAAGGGCTCAAGCACAGTATTCTTGACACTGTGTAAACATTGGGTTACATTTTATTACATTGGTGGAGCTTCTCTGCCCTCTAGTGGTTGAATCACAAAGACAGAGAATATAGCACATTTGAGATTTTACCCACAGTTGGCCCAACATGTATTTAAATGCCACTCGTTCTGTAAAACACATTTACATTACAGTAGATACAAAATATCAAATCAAATGGCATCTGCAAACAAATGATGCCAGACCTTTAAGCAGAGCTAAAACTTTACTGAAAATTCATTTGAAAATTAGCTTATTGCGCTTCAGCCTGGGTTAATACAATTATCCATTTAAGAGAAATATGATATATTTATTTGAGCATCACTGTTAAATAAGGGGTCATAAGAGTTTATTTTAATATCATATTGCACTTACGTGAACAAAGCAATTAAAATACATTGCAACATTGATATTTCAAAAACACACACACAAACTTGCATTGGTTTACAAACCTTTTTTGGCCACACAATAAAGGGGTAAGAAACACACACACACACACACACACACACACACACACACACACACACACACACACACACACACACACACACACACACACACACACACACACACACACACACACACACACACACACACACACACACACACACACACACACACACACACACACACACACACACACACACACACACACACACATACGGGTTTTTGTGAATAACAAGGACACTTCAGCCCAAACCAGTCTGTTGGTGTATTAGGGGGACACCCCTTTCCACTTGCTCTACAGCGATGTGGAGGGTATCAAAAAATCTGTTTTGAGCCATACAACACAGATTTCACTTCAGAATTTGTTTAAACACAACACAACTTATAATGCAACAACCTGACAATATACTTAATTATGAGGACAAATATAATTAGGTGTCTAACCCCACCCATGACACAAAACTATATTATAAGGACCTACTGTACAGTAGCTATACAACACACATAGATGTCATTAATGTGTATTAGAGGGACAAACATGAATTAAGGGGACATGGCTAAACATACACAAAAGTGATAGCATTGTGCATTAAAATGACATATCTGATTTATGAGGACAACTGATTAAACTTAAAACACAGTACTGTGCACTACAATTATGATATTTTGAATGGTGATTCAGCCATGTTTTTTATAGGGTGCATTCAAAGATCTGACATTTGTGTGATTTATCAACATGCCATTTTAAAAGACATGAGGACATATAACAGTATGCACCTTTAGTGAACAAGAAGCAATGTTTAATAAGTGCTCACTTTCAACATTACAGACATTGCTGGCAATATTAAATCACAAAATAAACAGTATGCACCTTTAGTGAACAAGAAGCAATGTTTAATAAGTGCTCAGTTTCAACATTATAGCAATATTAAATCACAAAATAAACTAATAATTTTCTTGTGTTAAGGAAAAATAATGCATGAAGAGAGATTTAAAGGGTTAGTTCACCCAAAAATGAAAATTAAGTCATTAATTACTCACCCCCATGCTGTACCAACCCCGTAAGACCTTCGTTCGTCTTCGGAACACAAATGAAGATATTTTTGATTAAATTTGAGAGCTGTATAACTACCACATTGGCTCCTAAAGGACTGCCTCTTGACGGCCCAGAAAGTCAATGAAGAAAATGTTTAAATATCCCAAGTGACTACCGTGGCTCAACTATAAGTTTAACAAGCAACGAGAATACTTTTTGTGTGAAAAAACAAACAAAAATAACGACTTTATTCGACTATTCCTTTTCTTCCTTGTTGGCCTGAGACGAGAGTTCAAGAGATTTCCACGACGCATGCGCGAGAATTGTGATCTCCTTTAACTACCTCAGTTCAGTTCTCGCGCATGCGTCGTGGAAATCTCTTGAAGTCTCGTTTCAGGCCTACAAGGAAGAAAAGGAATAGTCGAATAAAGTCGTTATTTTTGTTTGTTTTTTCGCACACAAAAAGTATTCTCGTCGCTTGATAAACATATAGTTGAGCCACGGTAGTCACTTGGGATATTTAAACATTTTCTTCATTGACTTTCTGGGCCGTCAAGAGGCAGTCCCTTAGGAGCCAATGTGGTAGTTATACAGCTCTCAAATTTAATCAAAAATATCTTCATTTGTGTTCCGAAGATGAACGAAGGTCTTACGGGGTTGGTACAGCATGGGGGTGAGTAATTAATGACTTAATTTTCATTTTTGGGTGAACTAACCCTTTAAAATGAAAAACTCATACAGGTTAATAACAACTTGAAGGGGAAAAATGATGGCAAATAATTTTTTGTTGGTTGAACTATCCATTTACAGCCTTCAAAAGAAGTTTAAAACATTTTTACCACATTAGAACAAAACAGCAGGAACAAAAACCAAAAATACTTAATGTTGCACCTGTTTCCTTTTCAGTGACACGCCCCGATTTCGAACAAAATCTCGAATGTTTTGCACAGAGCGACTAGCTAAAGCAGGATGCTCCGCAGTCTTGCACTGTTCACATTCAATTTTACTGACGAGTTTACCCCTTGCAATGTGGTTCCGGAAATGTTTCATTACTGCTGAAATTTCTTTTGGAGACCACATCTGTTTCACTTTTCTTCTTGCATCATCTGTTTTGGCTGCACCAAAAATCACTACAAAAGAAAAAAACAGATTGGGTTGAACAACACAAAGGCCAGAATTCAGTCCGTCTCAACAAACCACACTCTCCTCAACCTCTCGTCTTGAGTCTAGTTTACTGCTGATTTGTAATCTGAGTCAAAAGTGATGGGACGCTGTTTTAGATAAACAATTTTCAGTTTTTTGGCCCTGTTACAAAATGAACAGCCAACAAGTAACTGTAGTCAGGTGAAAATCAGTCATTCTGCTTGAATTACAAGAGCAGATTGATTGCTGTAAAAGATGGGAAGTGCCTCCACTCATTACAAACTTGGTTTTAGCAACCAACAACTCAACTCGATATTCCCACCGAAAAACCGTGATACCACCCACAACACATATCGCGATACTCTCATGGTGTACCGAACACACCCCGCCCCTGCTACCCCACCTAGCCCTGGCTCATTGGAGCTCATGTCTTATGTGTTGGCTACACAACGAATACAGCGTTGTAGCCTAACCACCATTAATCACATATAAATTGTAATAAGCTCAGTGTTTTGTTACTTTAGATAATACATGAATATCAGATGATGTCACCAACGTCTCCTCACTGATATCACTCACTTCTAAAACTTGTCCGCCTCCATCTTGAGTACCTGATTTGGCAAGATCGATACGGCAGTCGCAATATAAATCTGTAATGTTTGTTATTTTGAATAGAAATCATCGTTCAAAGCATTCATTCTCGTCTTCTCCTGTTTATTTGTGTTCAAATACATGCAAATACAGCATCCGCCACGGCTATTAGTCCAATGGTGCGCATTTTTGGAGAAATAATGATTTATCACATTTGTAAAATATTTCATCATACAAAATGACATTCGGAATGACATTCCTATTTATTTTCCACTGAATTATGCAATCTGAAGAGCTCAAACTGCGAATGCAGCGAGATATGCTTCTCCTTTTCCTGATTTGCGTCAAATTATGATCTTAGCGCGTACTCATTCGCTGTAAAGCTGTCAATCATCTTACGTGGTTCAACGTGACCATTATCCTGGCTCCTCATTCTGACATCCATGATAACAAAGCTAAAGTAACATCTCTTCATCTGAAACAAGAAGCTAATAAATGCACGATTTGAAGTATTTGTGATTTGTGTGTGATTTTCCTGCGATTTGAGTATTCATATGAAAAAAGAATGTTTACAGTATGCATGCTAGGTAACCATAGCCCATAGCTTCGAATAAAATGCTAAATATAACATTTAAAAAAAATTGTTTGACTTGAAACCAATTTAAGCCACGACCGGAATATGATTCAAATGTGCTAATGGTTGTGCTAATGCACCTGCTGCAGGAGCTACTCTATTCCATACAATAATTAAGAAAAAAAGAAGTCAAATAATGTTTCAAGAATAGTTATTTTGTTGTTTGTTTTGTAACAAGACTAAAGATAATAGGCTTGTCAGTAACATAGACAGTATTCGGTAGGTACTCAAGATGGCGGCAGCCAACTGGAAAAAGAGCGGTTGACGTAAGAGGTCATGTGACTGATATTCATGTATAAGCAAGGTGTAATCTTTCAAATTCTGTCTATTTGATGCTCTTAGATGTGGCGTGACAGATCACTGTACTAGGCTCCTCATTTAAACGGCAGCGCAGAGCACGAGTAAACGCGATCATCTCTTCCTCAGTAACAGAATAAACATGAATGGACACCCGTAGGTATGATGACAGACACAGTATACTTACTGAACGACGTTATAACTCGTGTAATCACTCAATCAGTGTTTCAACAGCGGAAATGCGTCAATATAACGCTTAGTTTTTCACATAGCTTTATTTTTGCCTCAAGCAAGTCAGTCAGTATCCAAAACTTGTTGGTTCGCTAACTATTTCACTAGGGCTGGGCAATATATCGCACGATATTGTTATGCGCATCTAATCAGTAAAGCCGGTTCCTTGATTAGTAGTAAATCACCTTCACCTGCTTTCAGATGGACGATATGAGTGTTAAATTAACCCTCAAGAGTGTTAAAGTTAATGAGATAATTAAGTGATTAATTTAGTGATGATTGAGCATTATTGAAGACACCTGATGATCACAAGCAGAATCGCTGAAGGACAAAATCACAAATTGTAAGTCACCGTTATGGAGATCAGTGTTTGCTTTAGTTGTGCTCTTGACACTTTTACTTTAAATTTTGTTTGTTTGCTGTTTTGTTAGTTTTTTTTTTTTTTTTAAACAACTTTTGAGAACTCCATCAATTATATTTAACATTCTGGACATTTATGCAGAATCTCAGTTATACACTAACCAACAGAATAAATTATAGACATAAATATCAAATGATGAATGTCATTATATGACCAACATCATTTTACTATTGTATATTTTTGTTCATCTGACAGATATAACTCAGATGCAAAAGCAAATTAAAATATAAGATTTATATTATAAGGGTCAAGAGCCCAACTAAAGCAAACACTCATCTCCATAACGGTGGCTTACAATTTTAGTTTTTTTTCTTGTGATTCTGCTTTAGGTGTCTTCAATAATGCTCAATCATCACTCATTTAATCACTTAATTATCTCATTAACTTTAACACTCTTGAGTGTGGACTCATATACACTCCCAGGTGTGTTAGTTTAACACGGGAGATTTTGTCCTGACGAAGAGCCGTAGTTCACTGACCAGCTGAGCCATATCGCATTAAATATCGCTGGCGATACGTCCTCGATATTAACGCGATTTGGCTCAGCTTGTCAGTGATCTACGGCTCTTTGTAGTAAATGCCGCTCCATCTGAAAGCAGGTGAAGGTGATTTACTACTAATCAAGGAACCGGCTTTACTGATTAGATGCGCATAACAATATCGTGCGATATATCGCCCAGCCCTACTATATGGGTCTCTAATAAGTGAAGCATCAGCTTCAGCGTTACCCATGCGACGCATTGCTGCTCAGCAGAGCCTTGAAAAGTGGAACTCGAAGTTCAAAATAATTAACACCTTGTTTCATTACATCTCACTCTTTTAATGAATCAGCTTTTTTGAACGTGTTCATTGAATGAACGGCTTAATGACTCGCTCAAAGTCCGTTGTCATAACAATGTGCGCGCTGAGTGAAAGCCTTTCAATGCACATTCTGTAGACGCTGTTCAGTTTCGGTTACTTGTCCTCGTTTTTGTCCACATCGTAAACTTATTTATATAGCAACAAATACATATAAATTGAATAAATAAATAAGTAAATAAATAAATAAATGGCAGTAATAATGCATATCGCACTATTGAGCCACTCAAGATTACCGCAAGGGAAAATCCATAACACGACAGCCCTACCGACATGAACTGATTCTTGATCTATACCCATTCCTAGTGTGGTGTATTTGTGGACTTTTACCTGTTTGATCAAACTCTTCCCTCCTGGTGCGCTTTTTGTGCTTCTTACCATCACCATGGTTGTGTATTCCCGTCATTCCTTGAGATGAGTCTCCTAAGTCAGGGTCAACATCTGTGAATGGAAAAAGAATGCTTAAACAAAAGCAAACAGAATTGTGCTTTGCCAACATGAACTGATTCTTGATCTATACCCATTCCTAGTTTGGTGTATTTGTGGACTTTTACCTGTTTGATCAAACTCTTCCCTCCTGGTGCGCTTTTTGTGCTTCTTACCATCACCATGGTTGTGTATTCCCGTCATTCCTTGAGATGAGTCTCCTAAGTCAGGGTCAACATCTGTGAATGGAAAAAGAATGCTTAAACAAAAGCAAACAGAATTGTGCTTTGCCAACATGAACTGATTCTTGATCTATATCCATTCCTAGTTTGGTGTATTTGTGGACCTTTACCTGTTTGATCAAACTCTTCCCTCCTGGTGCGCTTTTTGTGCTTCTTACCATCACCATGGTTGTGTATTCCCGTCATTCCTTGAGATGAGTCTCCTAAGTCAGGGTCAACATCTGTGAATGGAAAAAGAATGCTTAAACAAAAGCAAACAGAATTGTGCTTTGCCAACATGAACTGATTCTTGATCTATACCCATTCCTAGTTTGGTGTATTTGTGGACTTTTACCTGTTTGATCAAACTCTTCCCTCCTGGTGCGCTTTTTGTGCTTCTTACCATCACCATGGTTGTGTATTCCCGTCATTCCTTGAGATGAGTCTCCTAAGTCAGGGTCAACATCTGTGAATGGAAAAAGAATGCTTAAACAAAAGCAAACAGAATTGTGCTTTGCCGACATGAACTGATTCTTGATCTATACCCATTCCTAGTGTGGTGTATTTGTGGACTTTTACCTGTTTGATCAAACTCTTCCCTCCTGGTGCGCTTTTTGTGCTTCTTACCATCACCATGGTTGTGTATTCCCGTCATTCCTTGAGATGAGTCTCCTAAGTCAGGGTCAACATCTGTGAATGGAAAAAGAATGCTTAAACAAAAGCAAACAGAATTGTGCTTTGCCAACATGAACTGATTCTTGATCTATATCCATTCCTAGTTTGGTGTATTTGTGGACCTTTACCTGTTTGATCAAACTCTTCCCTCCTGGTGCGCTTTTTGTGCTTCTTACCATCACCATGGTTGTGTATTCCCGTCATTCCTTGAGATGAGTCTCCTAAGTCAGGGTCAACATCTGTGAATGGAAAAAGAATGCTTAAACAAAAGCAAACAGAATTGTGCTTTGCCAACATGAACTGATTCTTGATCTATACCCATTCCTAGTTTGGTGTATTTGTGGACTTTTACCTGTTTGATCAAACTCTTCCCTCCTGGTGCGCTTTTTGTGCTTCTTACCATCACCATGGTTGTGTATTCCCGTCATTCCTTGAGATGAGTCTCCTAAGTCAGGGTCAACATCTGTGAATGGACAAAGAATGCTTAAACAAAAGCAAACAGAATTGTGCTTTGCCAACATGAACTGATTCTTGATCTATACCCATTCCTAGTTTGGTGTATTTGTGGACTTTTACCTGTTTGATCAAACTCTTCCCTCCTGGTGCGCTTTTTGTGCTTCTTACCACCAGCATGGTTGTGTATTCCCGTCATTCCTTGAGATGAGTCTCCTAAGTCAGGGTCAACATCTGTGAATGGAAAAAGAACGATTTAATCATCGATTAACCATGTGCGCGCGTGTTCTTGTGTGCGTGCTGCTCCACCAGGATACATGTAAGCGAGCGAGTTATGTTTGGGACTATTTTACACCATCATGACAATAAGTTGGCATGTGCATTCGTAGCCTTTTGTTTTGTTCAAATAAGTTGTAATTGTTTATTTTTGTGTAAGTTACGTCTATCTGTATCTTTATCTCATATTGGATGTATTTGGTCAAGAATTGACACTAAAGCGTGATCTTTAACACGCGCTGCTCAAACGGCAATGGTCAATACGGCTCAAACGACTGGTCATTTTACATAACATTATAAAGAAAATATTGTAATAAAACACTGTGAATTTTTGGGGTTTAGTTGCCGTGTCGTGTTGTTCCAGGAAGAGCGCGTCCACAACACGAGTCATTCTGTATGGCACGTAGGCCTAGTTCAAGTTCACTTGTGCATTCAAGTAATTTTGTGCAGATGTAAATAAATCTCATTGGATGCGTTTCTTTGAGTTAAAAAAGTTCTCAACGATTATTCAGTCAGTGCGCACCGCTCAAGCAGAATGCAAGACTAATAATAACGATGATTAATTTGGGACTGTCATATCACATAACACGAGAACACTATTTTATAAATTCGTTGTGAATTCATTGGGTTTAGTTGCCGTTGTTCCAGGAAGAGCACGTCCACAACAGTCACACATTCTGACAAGCGCATCTGAGGCGGTTGGTGACACGTTATATAGTTGTTTTATTTGATTATTAAATCATTAATTTAATTATAAATCACATCAAAATATTTTACAAACCTACTAGCACCTACAAAACATTCCCATTAATTTGGTGAGGAACATAGCGTTTTGAGCAGCATTTACAGACCCTGTCCTGCTGTTGGCCATGACACTGAGCAGACGCATATTGCAGTATTAAGGCTAACAATTAATCGATTAATTGATCGTTAATTTGAATGATGATTGATCATGGGAATTTGTGAAAATTGCTACTAGATCCCTACTAGAAAGATATCTACATCACAAACAAAAACATTTATATCTCTAAGCACTTATTATTTTATTTTGTTGGGCAGTGATTTGGTCACTACTTTGTGGAATTGACTGTCAGGTACAGGATAATTCAGCTCATTTGTGGGTTAGGTCATGACATGACATGACATCCTCTTCCGCTTCATCCGGGGCCTAGTCGCGATCAGCAGTCTAACCGAGCTTCTCACCCTATCTCTAAAGGATCGCCCAGCCATCCTGCGGAGAAAGCTCATTTCGGCCGCCTGTATCCGGGATCTTGTCCTTTCGGTCATGACCCAAAGCTCATGACCATAGGTGAGAGTAGGAACGTAGATGGAGAAATCCTTCCTCAAGTGGAGGAGTTTAAGTATCTTGGGGTTTTGTTCACGAGTGAGGGAAGGATGGAACGGGAGATTGACAGACGGATCGGTGCAGCTTCTGCAGCAATGCGGTCGATGTACCGGTCTGTTGTGGCGAAGAAGGAGCTGAGCCGTAAGGCAAAGCTCTCGATTTACCGGTCAATCTACGTTCCTACTCTCACCTATGGTCATGGGTTAGGGCTATCCACCTTTTTCTGACTTGACGGTTTTCTACTTCCTGCTGTCCTTTTTTCACTAATTGTATCTTAATTTCAATCAATGTTTCATCAACCAATTGCCTGGTTTTAATAAACAAGAAGTATATAGTAAACAGATGATCATGACGGAGGCGACAGCGCGCAAACTGGACTTTGGTCTCATGAATGAAACTTGGCGTAACGTTATTATGCCTAACCTCACAGGCCTGAGTGAGAAATATAGACTATGCATCTTTGAAAGCAGAGGTAGACAGGAGTCAAGGGGCTAACCAGCCTAACCTTTTGGAACTGTTATTCTGCAGCAGTCGGTGTGATGGAGAATGTCAGATATTTGCTGGAGATCGTGCAGTCATGCATCAGCTATCCTTTGGAAGTTATGAAGCAAAGAAAAACGTTCATTTTGTTTTTATCTGTGATTTAATAAAAATAACGTGATCAGATCACATTTGATGAATGTTTTTTTCGTTTTAGTTTAGCGATGTGGGGATGACAATCTAAAACACATGGCAAAAAAGCATAGACCAGACTCGAACCGGAAGTTGACTACCGGCATCGTCGTTATGGCGGCGCCCACTAGACCAGAATAAGGTGGATAAGTTTAATATGCAATTCAATCTCAGCCTATTAAATGCTATATTAACTTCAGTAACATTTGTGCATATCTGAACTACTGTATACATTTGGTGCACTATATGGTAGATGTCATAATGTTTTGATGTAATGATGTCAGAATTTTGATTTTTGCATAATTGTGTGCTTTTACTCATTTCTGTTATTGTCTGTGTCTCAGCATCACTGTCTTCACTTTGCTCCGAATCAGAAAAGTCCAAGTTATCTGTAAAAAAAAAAAGGATAAATAAAAGTTTACATTGCCGATGTTACATAATTTTCAATGAAATTTGATGAATATTACTCTTGTGATATAAAGCCCAGGATACACTGCACGATTTCAGCCATCCTATAAGATAATTACAAATCACACTGTGTGACATGGTTCTATTAAACTTGGGTACAACATGCATGTAGACTGTACGATGATGACACATATTGACTCGTAGGCTATGATGCAGGCTACGAGAAAAATAATGCGCTAGTGGTAAACAAAAAGCCCATGATCTCACTTTGGCAGTAGTAGTTAAGTGTGCTGAAAAAAAGAGGAAGTGACAAAAAAGGAAGGAATAAGAGCTTGAGGTAAGCAGTTAAGTTTTAGCACCATGTCGGGCTGATTTCATGTGGCATTTCTATTGGTTGGTTAGTAGACGTAGGTACACTCTACACTGTTTGGTAATCGTGACGAATTTGACAGTCTTGAGATTGTGCAGTGTGTCCCGGGCTTAAGGCAGAGGTCTCCATCCCTGTTCCAGGAGAGCTCCCGTCCTAAAGATTTCAGCTCCAACCTTAATAAAGACAGGTGTGTTGGAGCAGGGTTGGAACTGAAGTCTTTAGGACAGTAACTCTCCAGGAGCAGGGTTGGAGAACCCTGATCTAAGGTCTGCATATTAAGGATTATCCTGCATACCTTCGATTTCAATTTGTTCCAGTGTTTTCCCCTGAAGACTTGCAAGGGTGCCTTTCTCCATTGCAAGTAACAGTTTTGATATCTTGGCTAACTGTGTTGTGGCCTCTGGAAGTCGATAGTATTCTCGGTGCACACGAATATCATGTCCCAGAAAGTCTGCAACTTGGTCGAGCTCGTGATTTTTTAAGTTTAACACCTGAGACAGTGTTGCAACATGCTTTCGTAGTTGTGTTGATCTGAGGAATTCAGGTTTTTTTGCTCCACACTCATTGGCATAAATTCTCAGACAATCTTGTCCTCGATAAGGAGTCAAACAACTTGGTCTCCCAAAGAGGAATACATTTTCTTCAGGAACTCCACACTCTTTTCTTCGGCTAACAAGGTGTGTTAAGGCATCAACCATGTCTGGTGATAGCAAAACGGCAACCTTTCGGCCTCTTTTACCCCTTATCTCCACCCGACTAAAATGCGCACAGAGTTTTTTTTCAAATTTTGTTAGGCCAGCAGCGACATCCGCATGGAGGGGAGTTGTGTCCCTTTCAAGGAAGTTTTTTAGTTTCATCTTAGCAACCTCTCCTCCTCGTCTTCGGTTGAAAAGAATTACTTTTGCCAGTGTTGCTCTGGAAAGTTCCCCATAGGCTTGTGCTGATTGGGTATTTTTCAGGTTCTCAGATGCTGAATCTGCAACCTTTTCAAGATGCTGGTGAAGGCACTGCACATCCTCTGTGAATGGGATGGTGGACGGTTTGTTGAAGTGCGCCTCACTTAAAGTATTCAATGCTGTGTGGGAAATAAGTTCAGCCCATTTTGCGCTGTACAGTTTTTTAAATGTCTGGGTTGACCTTACCATCTCAGTGTCTTCTGCCATCAAAGCACGGCAATGTACAATGTCACAGATCTTTTGCAGTGAGTGGCCTAACTTGAGAGCAAGGCTAGGAGTCTGGTAGGTGTGCTTTTCACCATTAAAGCCGGAGACCTTCTTTACAGCTTGGATAAGGACATTAAAATTTGCAGGTCTAACAGCATCTTCAAGTGTCTGTATTGTAAATTCTCTTTGCAGGATCAGGAGAAGTCTACCAGCTTCTCTGAGCTTCTGCCGAATATACTCGTATTTAGTGGGATCTTGTCCGTGCCTGTTAAAAAAGGATTGGGCCAGTTGAAGAATGCAGAAATCACTCCGGACAGCTGCAGAGATTTCATCATCCTTCATTACAGTCAACAGCTTCCAAACCCCCTGTGATATTGGTTGACACATAGTTGCGTTAGACATAGTTGCCAAAGATAAGACCCTGGTCCTTCCTGGCTCAATACGATCCACTTCCACTTCCTCTGGTTTGGAAAGGCAATTTCGAATGTGTCGCCACAGATCTCTCCGAAGAAACATGGCATGGCAGTACATGCAAGGAACATAATCTTCTGATTTATATTCATTCTTGGGTTTCCGTCTGAGTTTTAACGATCCAGTCCCACTCTCTAAAACCCTAGCATTGTGTTCATAATTCCCTTTGTTCCTCAGTTTGTCCAACATTTGTTTGCGTTCTTTTGAACATTTTGGAAGTGCCAAGACCCGAGCAACATCCATGTTTGTTGTTTCATGGATTTTTAAGTGCCTTGCAAATTTTGACTGGGGTTTGCAACAAATATAGCAGTAATTATTTTTGTTTACTGTAGAGGATACATTAGACGACTGTACACATGGAATTTCTCCAGTTCTTGTGCTATCCTCTGTAGACTTTTCTTCAGTATTACCAGTCATTTTTGTTTTGAGGACATCTGATACTTGAACTGGATCTTTCAGCAGAGATTGTGTAACTATGTGGTTCTCTTGACATTGCCTGGCATTTTTATTTTCTCCAAGTGATTCAATGCTGGACACATTTTGTTTGTTCGCGATTTGTTTAGGATGCTCAAGTTCTAAAGAAACTGTGCTCTCTTCTGAACTGTCAAAAGAATCAGGTAAATAGTCCTGATCAGACAAGTTCTCACTGGAAAACTCTTCTTCAGAATTCTGTGGTTGGATGGGGGGATTGGAAAGAGAAACCTTTTTTACACATCAAAAAATAAAAACTTGAGGAAAGAAAAGTTAACCCAAAAGTAAAAAGAATAATCAATCCCTGGCCATCAAATATTCACATGACATTCTTTTTCATCAAAAAGCCATATAGATCTTTGATGGGTGAGAAAATAATTAGTAAATGTTCATTTTTGGGTTAATCTTTTCATTTAGCGAGAATTTGATAAAATACACTTACCGGTGTTAAAGGGTCAGGTTTGGGCTTCACATGCTTATCATAGCAACTTTTATGCCAAAAGCAGGAGCAAACTAGACAGAGGATAAAATAAACATTTGGTCGTTTGATGCGATGGACATAATGTGAAAAAAGAAGAGCAATAGTTGTAAAGCAAGAGATAGGTCCATAGAGGCAGAGCATGTTACTAATGATATGACAGATATGTGGATAAAAGACAAAAGCTCGAAAAGTATGTGATAAAGACGGAAGAAAAAATGTTAAAGTAGCAGAGTTAGAGGTAGTGTTAATGAAATTATGATGTATGGATAGAAATAAACTATATTGTCAATCTTTCCTTTTATTTATTTTGAGAAATATATTATGTTACTAGAAAAACAGGAGAGTTCAACAGAATGATTCAAATATATTGAGGGTAAAAGAAAGTGGTGCAAGAAAAGGAAATAGGTAATTTGAAATGTGAAAGAGAGTATAACCAGTGTAAATGAAAGTAAAAACAAGAAATTATTAAATGCTACTAAACAGATGAATAATTGAGCATAAAACAGTAATTAAGGCAGATATTGAGAAAGTGTGACACACGCAGAAAAAAGAAGTGCCTTAAATTAAAAAAGAAAGAAAGGAAATATATTATATATAAGAACAAAATACTTACCCTTACACCTAACACTAATCCACTTAAAAGCAGAAAAGGGCCCACTGCAGCTGTTACATTTATCCAAGGTTGACACTACCGAGGAGATTACATTATGTTTGCAATTCTGTTGAAAAATAATAATAATAAAAAAAATTACTTGTATAAACAAAGTTCAGCCTACTTCCATGATTTAAAAATATTTGAGACTTTGCTGAATACCATTGTGCATATTGGCTGAGTGCTCATAGAAATGATTACATGTCTAGCTAATGTGAACATGATTATTTCAAACAGCAGTGTTAAATTAGGGAGGAACCTAAACATGTTGGGCAGAGCCTCTCCAGTAGCAGGGTTCCCATACCTTAGACAAACCCTTTCTAGGTTACATTTACACACACAAATTCCAAATCACCTTCTCTGATGCATCATCTGCCTCACAGCTGACAAAACCATTGGACTGTTGTTCTGTCTCAGATATCACCTATGAAATATTTTCAAACATGTGTAAACACAGATAAGCAGAAAATCATGTGTACTGCTTTATGAGAAATATGAAAAAATAAAAACAAAACATTTCCCATAACTAACCATTTACTCTAAAAGCTTTATTGGATTTGGAAATCAACACATCTTTGACAATTGAAAGACTTTAGAAATAAAGATTCTACATCATTTTACCAACGGTTCATAAATTACCTGTTGAGCGGTGTCATGAAGTCTCAATTGAGGATCTGTCTCGGATGAAATCTAATGAGGAACAAAGAAAACAGTTTGATTATAAACATTAATTTTCACAATTGCTTTTACACAAACTATGGTCCAATCTGACTGTATTACTGAACTTCTGTCCATCCTCACAATACACAATATGACACAAACAGTGAATATGAGGACATTCAGACACAAACTATGGTCCAATCTGACTGTATTACTGAACTTCTGTCCATCCCCACAATACACAATATGACACAAACAGTGAATATGAGGACATTCAGACACAAACTATGGTCCAATCTGACTGTATTACTGAACTTCTGTCCATCCTCACAATACACAATATGACACAAACAGTGAATATGAGGACATTCAGACACAAACTATGGTCCAATCTGACTGTATTACTGAACTTCTGCCCATCCCCCACAATACACAATATGACACAAACAGTGAATATAAGGACATTCAGACACAAACTATGGTCCAATCTGACTGTATTACTGAACTTCTGTCCATCCTCACAATACACAATATGACACAAACAGTGAATATGAGGACATTCAGACACAAACTATGGTCCAATCTGACTCTATTACTGAACTTCTGTCCATCCCCCACAATACACAATATGACACAAACAGTGAATATGAGGACATTCAGACACAAACTATGGTCCAATCTGACAGTATTACTTAACTTCTGTCCATCCCCACAATACACAATATGACACAAACAGTGAATATGAGGACATTCAGACACAAACTATGGTCCAATCTGACTGTATTACTGAACTTCTGCCCATCCCCCACAATACACAATATGACACAAACAGTGAATATGAGGACATTCAGACACAAACTATGGTCCAATCTGACTGTATTACTGAACTTCTGTCCATCCTCACAATACACAATATGACACAAACAGTGAATATGAGGACATTCAGACACAAACTATGGTCCAATCTGACTGTATTACTGAACTTCTGCCCATCCCCCACAATACACAATATGACACAAACAGTGAATATGAGGACATTCAGACACAAACTATGGTCCAATCTGACTCTATTACTGAACTTCTGTCCATCCCCCACAATACACAATATGACACAAACAGTGAATATGAGGACATTCAGACACAAACTATGGTCCAATCTGACTGTATTACTGAACTTCTGTCCATCCTCACAATACACAATATGACACAAACAGTGAATATGAGGACATTCAGACACAAACTATGGTCCAATCTGACTGTATTACTGAACTTCTGCCCATCCCCCACAATACACAATATGACACAAACAGTGAATATAAGGACATTCAGACACAAACTATGGTCCAATCTGACTGTATTACTGAACTTCTGTCCATCCTCACAATACACAATATGACACAAACAGTGAATATGAGGACATTCAGACACAAACTATGGTCCAATCTGACTCTATTACTGAACTTCTGTCCATCCCCCACAATACACAATATGACACAAACAGTGAATATGAGGACATTCAGACACAAACTATGGTCCAATCTGACTCTATTACTGAACTTCTGCCCATCCCCCACAATACACAATATGACACAAACAGTGAATATGAGGACATTCAGACACAAACTATGGTCCAATCTGACTGTATTACTGAACTTCTGTCCATCCTCACAATACACAATATGACACAAACAGTGAATATGAGGACATTCAGACACAAACTATGGTCCAATCTGACTGTATTACTGAACTTCTGCCCATCCCCCACAATACACAATATGACACAAACAGTGAATATGAGGACATTCAGACACAAACTATGGTCCAATCTGACTGTATTACTGAACTTCTGTCCATCCTCACAATACACAATATGACACAAACAGTGAAGGACATGAGGATAACTAACCATTTACTCTAAAAGCTTTATTGGATTTGGAAATCAACACATCTTTGACAATTGAAAGACTTTAGAAATAAAGATTCTACATCATTTTACCAACGGTTCATAAATTACCTGTTGAGCGGTGTCATGAAGTCTCAATTGAGGATCTGTCTCGGATGAAATCTAATGAGGAACAAAGAAAACAGTTTGATTATAAACATTAATTTTCACAATTGCTTTTACACAAACTATGGTCCAATCTGACTGTATTACTGAACTTCTGTCCATCCTCCACAATACACAATATGACACAAACAGTGAATATGAGGACATTCAGACACAAACTATGGTCCAATCTGACTGTATTACTGAACTTCTGTCCATCCTCACAATACACAATATGACACAAACAGTGAATATGAGGACATTCAGACACAAACTATGGTCCAATCTGATTATACTGAAAAATATTTGAGACTTTGCTGAATACCATTGTGCATATTGGCTGAGTGCTCATAGAAATGATTACATGTCTAGCTAATGTGAACATGATTATTTCAAACAGCAGTGTTAAATTAGGGAGGAACCTAAACATGTTGGGCAGAGCCTCTCCAGTAGCAGGGTTCCCATACCTTAGACAAACCCTTTCTAGGTTACATTTACACACACAAATTCCAAATCACCTTCTCTGATGCATCATCTGCCTCACAGCTGACAAAACCATTGGACTGTTGTTCTGTCTCAGATATCACCTATGAAATATTTTCAAACATGTGTAAACACAGATAAGCAGAAAATCATGTGTACTGCTTTATGAGAAATATGAAAAAATAAAAACAAAACATTTCCTATAACTAACCATTTACTCTAAAAGCTTTATTGGATTTGGAAATCAACACATCTTTGACAATTGAAAGACTTTAGAAATAAAGATTCTACATCATTTTACCAACGGTTCATAAATTACCTGTTGAGCGGTGTCATGAAGTCTCAATTGAGGATCTGTCTCGGATGAAATCTAATGAGGAACAAAGAAAACAGTTTGATTATAAACATTAATTTTCACAATTGCTTTTACACAAACTATGGTCCAATCTGACTGTATTACTGAACTTCTGTCCATCCTCCACAATACACAATATGACACAAACAGTGAATATGAGGACATTCAGACACAAACTATGGTCCAATCTGACTGTATTACTGAACTTCTGTCCATCCCCCACAATACACAATATGACACAAACAGTGAATATGAGGACATTCAGACACAAACTATGGTCCAATCTGACTGTATTACTGAACTTCTGCCCATCCCCCACAATACACAATATGACACAAACAGTGAATATGAGGACATTCAGACACAAACTATGGTCCAATCTGACTGTATTACTGAACTTCTGTCCATCCTCACAATACACAATATGACACAAACAGTGAAGGACATGAGGATAACTAACCATTTACTCTAAAAGCTTTATTGGATTTGGAAATCAACACATCTTTGACAATTGAAAGACTTTAGAAATAAAGATTCTACATCATTTTACCAAAACTTAAAACAGTTCATAAATTACCTGTTGAGCGGTGTCATGAAGTCTCAATTGAGGATCTGTCTCGGATGAAATCTAATGAGGAACAAAGAAAACAGTTTGATTATAAACATTAATTTTCACAATTGCTTTTACACAAACTATGGTCCAATCTGACTGTATTACTGAACTTCTGTCCATCCTCCACAATACACAATATGACACAAACAGTGAATATGAGGACATTCAGACACAAACTATGGTCCAATCTGACTGTATTACTGAACTTCTGTCCATCCTCACAATACACAATATGACACAAACAGTGAATATGAGGACATTCAGACACAAACTATGGTCCAATCTGATTATACTGAAAAATATTTGAGACTTTGCTGAATACCATTGTGCATATTGGCTGAGTGCTCATAGAAATGATTACATGTCTAGCTAATGTGAACATGATTATTTCAAACAGCAGTGTTAAATTAGGGAGGAACCTAAACATGTTGGGCAGAGCCTCTCCAGTAGCAGGGTTCCCATACCTTAGACAAACCCTTTCTAGGTTACATTTACACACACAAATTCCAAATCACCTTCTCTGATGCATCATCTGCCTCACAGCTGACAAAACCATTGGACTGTTGTTCTGTCTCAGATATCACCTATTAAATATTTTCAAACATGTGTAAACACAGATAAGCAGAAAATCATGTGTACTGCTTTATGAGAAATATGAAAAAATAAAAACAAAACATTTCCCATAACTAACCATTTACTCTAAAAGCTTTATTGGATTTGGAAATCAACACATCTTTGACAATTGAAAGACTTTAGAAATAAAGATTCTACATCATTTTACCAACGGTTCATAAATTACCTGTTGAGCGGTGTCATGAAGTCTCAATTGAGGATCTGTCTCGGATGAAATCTAATGAGGAACAAAGAAAACAGTTTGATTATAAACATTAATTTTCACAATTGCTTTTACACAAACTATGGTCCAATCTGACTGTATTACTGAACTTCTGTCCATCCCCCACAATACACAATATGACACAAACAGTGAATATGAGGACATTCAGACACAAACTATGGTCCAATCTGACTGTATTACTGAACTTCTGTCCATCCCCCACAATACACAATATGACACAAACAGTGAATATGAGGACATTCAGACACAAACTATGGTCCAATCTGACTGTATTACTGAACTTCTGTCCATCCCCCACAATACACAATATGACACAAACAGTGAATATGAGGACATTCAGACACAAACTATGGTCCAATCTGACTGTATTACTTAACTTCTGTCCATCCCCACAATACACAATATGACACAAACAGTGAATATGAGGACATTCAGACACAAACTATGGTCCAATCTGACTGTATTACTGAACTTCTGTCCATCCCCCACAATACACAATATGACACAAACAGTGAATATGAGGACATTCAGACACAAACTATGGTCCAATCTGACTGTATTACTGAACTTCTGTCCATCCCCCACAATACACAATATGACACAAACAGTGAATATGAGGACATTCAGACACAAACTATGGTCCAATCTGACTGTATTACTGAACTTCTGTCCATCCTCACAATACACAATATGACACAAACAGTGAATATGAGGACATTCAGACACAAACTATGGTCCAATCTGACTGTATTACTGAACTTCTGTCCATCCCCCACAATACACAATATGACACAAACAGTGAATATGAGGACATTCAGACACAAACTATGGTCCAATCTGACTGTATTACTGAACTTCTGCCCATCCCCCACAATACACAATATGACACAAACAGTGAATATGAGGACATTCAGACACAAACTATGGTCCAATCTGACTGTATTACTGAACTTCTGCCCATCCCCCACAATACACAATATGACACAAACAGTGAATATGAGGACATTCAGACACAAACTATGGTCCAATCTGACTGTATTACTGAACTTCTGCCCATCCCCCACAATACACAATATGACACAAACAGTGAATATGAGGACATTCAGACACAAACTATGGTCCAATCTGACTGTATTACTGAACTTCTGTCCATCCTCACAATACACAATATGACACAAACAGTGAAGGACATGAGGATAACTAACCATTTACTCTAAAAGCTTTATTGGATTTGGAAATCAACACATCTTTGACAATTGAAAGACTTTAGAAATAAAGATTCTACATCATTTTACCAAAACTTAAAACAGTTCATAAATTACCTGTTGAGCGGTGTCATGAAGTCTCAATTGAGGATCTGTCTCGGATGAAATCTAATGAGGAACAAAGAAAACAGTTTGATTATAAACATTAATTTTCACAATTGCTTTTACACAAACTATGGTCCAATCTGACTGTATTACTGAACTTCTGTCCATCCTCACAATACACAATATGACACAAACAGTGAATATGAGGACATTCAGACACAAACTATGGTCCAATCTGACTGTATTACTGAACTTCTGTCCATCCTCACAATACACAATATGACACAAACAGTGAATATGAGGACATTCAGACACAAACTATGGTCCAATCTGATTATACTGAAAAATATTTGAGACTTTGCTGAATACCATTGTGCATATTGGCTGAGTGCTCATAGAAATGATTACATGTCTAGCTAATGTGAACATGATTATTTCAAACAGCAGTGTTAAATTAGGGAGGAACCTAAACATGTTGGGCAGAGCCTCTCCAGTAGCAGGGTTCCCATACCTTAGACAAACCCTTTCTAGGTTACATTTACACACACAAATTCCAAATCACCTTCTCTGATGCATCATCTGCCTCACAGCTGACAAAACCATTGGACTGTTGTTCTGTCTCAGATATCACCTATGAAATATTTTCAAACATGTGTAAACACAGATAAGCAGAAAATCATGTGTACTGCTTTATGAGAAATATGAAAAAATAAAAACAAAACATTTCCTATAACTAACCATTTACTCTAAAAGCTTTATTGGATTTGGAAATCAACACATCTTTGACAATTGAAAGACTTTAGAAATAAAGATTCTACATCATTTTACCAACGGTTCATAAATTACCTGTTGAGCGGTGTCATGAAGTCTCAATTGAGGATCTGTCTCGGATGAAATCTAATGAGGAACAAAGAAAACAGTTTGATTATAAACATTAATTTTCACAATTGCTTTTACACAAACTATGGTCCAATCTGACTGTATTACTGAACTTCTGTCCATCCTCACAATACACAATATGACACAAACAGTGAATATGAGGACATTCAGACACAAACTATGGTCCAATCTGACTGTATTACTGAACTTCTGTCCATCCTCCACAATACACAATATGACACAAACAGTGAATATGAGGACATTCAGACACAAACTATGGTCCAATCTGACTGTATTACTGAACTTCTGTCCATCCTCACAATACACAATATGACACAAACAGTGAATATGAGGACATTCAGACACAAACTATGGTCCAATCTGACTGTATTACTGAACTTCTGCCCATCCCCCACAATACACAATATGACACAAACAGTGAATATGAGGACATTCAGACACAAACTATGGTCCAATCTGACTGTATTACTGAACTTCTGCCCATCCCCCACAATACACAATATGACACAAACAGTGAATATGAGGACATTCAGACACAAACTATGGTCCAATCTGACTGTATTACTGAACTTCTGTCCATCCTCACAATACACAATATGACACAAACAGTGAAGGACATGAGGATAACTAACCATTTACTCTAAAAGCTTTATTGGATTTGGAAATCAACACATCTTTGACAATTGAAAGACTTTAGAAATAAAGATTCTACATCATTTTACCAAAACTTAAAACAGTTCATAAATTACCTGTTGAGCGGTGTCATGAAGTCTCAATTGAGGATCTGTCTCGGATGAAATCTAATGAGGAACAAAGAAAACAGTTTGATTATAAACATTAATTTTCACAATTGCTTTTACACAAACTATGGTCCAATCTGACTGTATTACTGAACTTCTGTCCATCCTCCACAATACACAATATGACACAAACAGTGAATATGAGGACATTCAGACACAAACTATGGTCCAATCTGACTGTATTACTGAACTTCTGTCCATCCTCACAATACACAATATGACACAAACAGTGAATATGAGGACATTCAGACACAAACTATGGTCCAATCTGATTATACTGAAAAATATTTGAGACTTTGCTGAATACCATTGTGCATATTGGCTGAGTGCTCATAGAAATGATTACATGTCTAGCTAATGTGAACATGATTATTTCAAACAGCAGTGTTAAATTAGGGAGGAACCTAAACATGTTGGGCAGAGCCTCTCCAGTAGCAGGGTTCCCATACCTTAGACAAACCCTTTCTAGGTTACATTTACACACACAAATTCCAAATCACCTTCTCTGATGCATCATCTGCCTCACAGCTGACAAAACCATTGGACTGTTGTTCTGTCTCAGATATCACCTATGAAATATTTTCAAACATGTGTAAACACAGATAAGCAGAAAATCATGTGTACTGCTTTATGAGAAATATGAAAAAATAAAAACAAAACATTTCCCATAACTAACCATTTACTCTAAAAGCTTTATTGGATTTGGAAATCAACACATCTTTGACAATTGAAAGACTTTAGAAATAAAGATTCTACATCATTTTACCAACGGTTCATAAATTACCTGTTGAGCGGTGTCATGAAGTCTCAATTGAGGATCTGTCTCGGATGAAATCTAATGAGGAACAAAGAAAACAGTTTGATTATAAACATTAATTTTCACAATTGCTTTTACACAAACTATGGTCCAATCTGACTGTATTACTGAACTTCTGTCCATCCTCACAATACACAATATGACACAAACAGTGAATATGAGGACATTCAGACACAAACTATGGTCCAATCTGACTGTATTACTGAACTTCTGTCCATCCTCCACAATACACAATATGACACAAACAGTGAATATGAGGACATTCAGACACAAACTATGGTCCAATCTGACTGTATTACTGAACTTCTGCCCATCCCCCACAATACACAATATGACACAAACAGTGAATATGAGGACATTCAGACACAAACTATGGTCCAATCTGACTGTATTACTGAACTTCTGCCCATCCCCACAATACACAATATGACACAAACAGTGAATATGAGGACATTCAGACACAAACTATGGTCCAATCTGACTGTATTACTGAACTTCTGTCCATCCCCCACAATACACAATATGACACAAACAGTGAATATGAGGACATTCAGACACAAACTATGGTCCAATCTGACTGTATTACTGAACTTCTGTCCATCCCCCACAATACACAATATGACACAAACAGTGAATATGAGGACATTCAGACACAAACTATGGTCCAATCTGACTGTATTACTGAACTTCTGCCCATCCCCCACAATACACAATATGACACAAACAGTGAATATGAGGACATTCAGACACAAACTATGGTCCAATCTGACTGTATTACTGAACTTCTGTCCATCCTCACAATACACAATATGACACAAACAGTGAAGGACATGAGGATAACTAACCATTTACTCTAAAAGCTTTATTGGATTTGGAAATCAACACATCTTTGACAATTGAAAGACTTTAGAAATAAAGATTCTACATCATTTTACCAACGGTTCATAAATTACCTGTTGAGCGGTGTCATGAAGTCTCAATTGAGGATCTGTCTCTGATGAAATCTAATGAGGAACAAAGAAAACAGTTTGATTATAAACATTCATTTTCACAATTGCTTTTACACAAACTATGGTCCAATCTGACTGTATTACTGAACTTCTGTCCATCCTCACAATACACAATATGACACAAACAGTGAATATGAGGACATTCAGACACAAACTATGGTCCAATCTGACTGTATTACTGAACTTCTGTCCATCCCCCACAATACACAATATGACACAAACAGTGAATATGAGGACATTCAGACACAAACTATGGTCCAATTTGATTATACTGAAAAATATTTGAGACTTTGCTGAATACCATTGTGCATATTGGCTGAGTGCTCATAGAAATGATTACATGTCTAGCTAATGTGAACATGATTATTTCAAACAGCAGTGTTAAATTAGGGAGGAACCTAAACATGTTGGGCAGAGCCTCTCCAGTAGCAGGGTTCCCATACCTTAGACAAACCCTTTCTAGGTTACATTTACACACACAAATTCCAAATCACCTTCTCTGATGCATCATCTGCCTCACAGCTGACAAAACCATTGGACTGTTGTTCTGTCTCAGATATCACCTATGAAATATTTTCAAACATGTGTAAACACAGATAAGCAGAAAATCATGTGTACTGCTTTATGAGAAATATGAAAAAATAAAAACAAAACATTTCCCATAACTAACCATTTACTCTAAAAGCTTTATTGGATTTGGAAATCAACACATCTTTGACAATTGAAAGACTTTAGAAATAAAGATTCTACATCATTTTACCAACGGTTCATAAATTACCTGTTGAGCGGTGTCATGAAGTCTCAATTGAGGATCTGTCTCGGATGAAATCTAATGAGGAACAAAGAAAACAGTTTGATTATAAACATTAATTTTCACAATTGCTTTTACACAAACTATGGTCCAATCTGACTGTATTACTGAACTTCTGTCCATCCCCACAATACACAATATGACACAAACAGTGAATATGAGGACATTCAGACACAAACTATGGTCCAATCTGACTGTATTACTGAACTTCTGTCCATCCCCCACAATACACAATATGACACAAACAGTGAATATGAGGACATTCAGACACAAACTATGGTCCAATCTGACTGTATTACTGAACTTCTGTCCATCCCCACAATACACAATATGACACAAACAGAAACAGTGAATATGAGGACATTCAGACACAAACTACACTCAGAAAACTAAGTATTGCCAAATCATAGGTCAAAAATAATTTCTGTAAATACCTTGCTTCTCCATGGCCAGTCAGAATCCCCATAATTATACATTATCTCCTCCCCAGGACTGATGTCCTTTATCGCGAACAAGCAAAGATGGGGCTTCCGGTCCACAGTGATTGTTTTCATTTTGCTGTTCGGATTTTTGTGGCTGTCATTAGCGATTCTCCCCAAAGAATCATCTTCTTTGGCAGCGTCCACCCTGAAACAGCAAGAACACAACACTAACTGCATGGTGTAACACTGACTGAATCACACAAGTCATTGCACCAGGGCTCGAGACTAACAACTAGGGATGTCTAGGGATTAAGTTTAGGCCTGCTGTTAGAAAAGTTCAGCGAGTGATTTTCTTCATCCTTTGTTCATTGATCAACATTAAATATTGGCACCGAGTACAGGCTGTCAATGCACGGATTCAATAGACACAGGCCTGCTTAAAGACAAAACCGACTGTGTTTACGGGGATATTTCGAACTTGAAAAAAAGATGTGTAGGCTAATGAAGTCTTTCCGTGGTTGAAACAATTTTTCTGATGTTTAATCATGTATATTATTTCATGCTACAAATACACAAGAAGGATATTTGTGAGATATTGTATGCACATTTGTCCGTGCACAAGAAGCAGAAAACAGCGCTCTTGCGCTTAAAGAATGCCATCAAAAAGAATCGATTTTCTATTCCTAACCTTACTAACTAGCCTATAGAAAATATTTAAATCATCCTATTGCATGTAAATAAATATGTGTATAACTATAGGGCTATAGTGAATTATGTTTTTAAAAATTGACAATTATCATCTGGAAACAGACTTCGATATCGATATTGCGATACTTGCGAGACATCGTCGATATACGATAATATCGTCATAACGCCCAGCCCTACTTTGTACATTTCCCAAGACAGTGTAAATGAGGTACATTAATATACATACCATAATTGTTTCCCATTAAAGCGAAATTCAAACAAAAATACTTCAAGTGCACGATGATAAACTCTGCGCCTCCTTTGATACTCTTGTTTATCCAGGATTTCTCCTCTGTATTCGAAAAGGAAGTCCCCCTTTTCGAAGTGGCGACAACTGAACACTCCTCGACCTATCAAAGGACATAACAGTCAGGAAAAGTGGAAAAATGTAAAACGATACTTAAACAAAGGCCTGTATTACCTTTAAAGGCATTTATATATTTTATTTCAAAACCATCCTTATCCTTAAGGATGGATGAAAAATATGCTGCCTCTTCCTTGGGTTTTAATTTGGTCCTTCGAGATCTTGAAGCTGCCATCTCCTGCAAAGGCGACATGATGTTTTTAATCACTTTACACCATGACTTTTAGATATCATATCACTGATATAATAAACTGTTTACACGTTTATTTGTTATGAACAATGAAATTATTAATTATAATTATTATTATACATATGTAATACTAAGAAGTTTTACTAGTTACACAGTAAAAATATGGATCTTGTGTTTAATTTTTTTTTTTACATGCTGCTTTTTCTTTTTCTCAAACAAACTGTAGTTGTCATTACATTTATAATTTGACTAACATATACACAGACACCTACGGAACATTAACGTTACTAATTAACTAAAACTGGCAACTAAAAACGTAAACAAGGACTAGCTAAGGAACAAAAATTCAGTTAGAAACCATTACCATGCTTCAGGGTGCTAAATAACGTTAACTGTTAGGCCTAAATTGCAAAGGGATCTAGAAAAAAACTTTATCCAACTAACGTTATACTGATCCACATGCCAACCTCATTACCATTATTACACTGCCCAAATGTTCCGGGAAATAAATATGATAATTCGTTTAATTAAAAAATTAAAAGTTGTGAAATACAGACACGTGTCAACAAAGCTAACGTTAGCTTATAACTGCTAACGTTAATGCAAATGATTTCATCATTAATATGATCAAATTAACTGATTAATAACTGAAACATATTTCAAACTACTACCAACGCAATATAAAATTAATACCGTTTTAGACTTGAAGTGTAACTGGATATTAGAAATTTGATCCCAACTCTTACCTGACGTCTCTTCTCCTTGATGACTGATCCGCATGTGGCTGTCTCAGCAAGTGGGAGTGGTTCGAAGACAGGTCCGGATCATCAAAAGTGCGTTGGTGTTGTGTAATTATTCCTTTTTAATTGATTTATTGATTTATTTTAGTTTTATTGTTGTTGTTATGCATTTTTCACTCGATTGAATTCGCTTATGTGGTAATTAGATTAACACAGTGGTTTGACAAAACCCGAAATTATGAGGACTTTTTGCGATCAGCCAATCAAAAGCCTCGATTCCATTCCCTTGTGTGAATATTCATGAGGAGATGCAGTACCGCTGACCCACCTACAGGGGCACTGTCTCGATACACAGCTGATACACAAAACCAGGTAATTGTGAACTATGGGGACTTGGGCTAAAATTTTGATTTTGAGCTCCCCCTAACCATAGAAACACTTCTACATTGTCAGAATTATGAGGACACCAGCCATGTCCTCATAATTCAAAATGTCCTCATAGTGTTGTGTGTATTCATATGAAATGTCCTCGTAAATCACAAAAACAAACACACACACACACACACACACACACACACACACACACACACACACAAACAGATTTGAAGTAAAAAAAAGAAAAAGAAAGAAACAAAACATTCCACATTACAGTCTTTTTCTCTCTTTTTTGATCTAAAATCATATTTCTGGTATTCCAAGCATTCCTATGTTCTCCATAACCAAAATGAGCAATACAGACAGTTTATTTGCTTTGTATAAGAAAATCAAAAAATGTGAATGTTTGTGTTCAGATATGTTATCTTTTATTCATTAGCACACAGCATTTGTGGATATAGTTTTAAAAAGTTATACAAAGTACAGACCAGAAAAGGGGTTATTTTTGTTGTTGTTGTTGTTGCTTTCTTACTGTCAGTGGTTCAAGGATTTAAAGAGAGTTCCATTCCATGTGACTTGGAAGTTCTGGCTTCAGAAATATTCTCCTAGACAGTAAACGTTTTAAAGAGGACAACCGAAATGTGTGAAACAGCCCTGGGGACGAAACAAATACTGACCCATTGATTCAGTCTTTCTGACACTCTCTAGCAGAATAATGCAGTCCCATACTGGATTTATCTTGTGTACTTTATATTGTGTACTTTATAAGTCTTTATATTGCTCCATTCCAAGTTAAACATGAGCTGAACCATCATAATTCGACAAGCAATTGAAGTATGAACAATTGGGCACAATTTTGTGACTTTTTTTGTGATGTGATTTTTAATTCACCATTAGAGGGCGTACAAATGTGATGCGTTTCACATGTTCATTCATTATTTACATGGCCTCTCATGTTATTAGCAATGTGTTTTAAGTTAATTTTCACTTTTAACACACAATCTCAATCTAAAACAGAGTTTTAAAACAATTCATTAATCTGAAAATCATTAAGCTGAAGTCCACTTGTTATGGCTTAGGGAACAGGATGGGCTAATTTTGTTTTGTTTTGTTCATACTTTACAATTGTAAAACATGGAGAGTACCATTCTCACTGTCTTTTTTGAATAAAAAATAGTTGTGCAACTCATTCTCCCATAAATCATTTGACAAAAAAAGAAAGCAATGAAGGATTTAAAAAAATATATATATATATCTTACATGGTTTACAGTAGCAACTGCAACGATTCTCTGTATGTCACAGATGAGGCTCTTGTTGTAGTTGTGTCTGTTAAACCAGAATTGCACACCGTATCATTGAGAAACTACCAGAGACAGATTCTCAGTACAGACTGTCTCTGTGCTGTAAGTTTGATTCTTAAAAAAGAAAAGAAAAAGAGAGAGCTCAGAGATGTCTTCTGAGAATCTCTACTGGCAACAGGCCTGGGCATTAAAAACTATCTGTAGCTGTTTTTTTTTTTTTTTAATGCAAGAACACAGCTTGAATGTACTTCCTTCTCGTTGTAGAGTTGTACCTTTATAATACTCTGTGGTGTAGGTTATTCCTTCACAACAATGTTGCTTGGTGAATAAGCACAGATCCACGTTTTTCAGTTTTTGGATTGCAGTCTATGTACATTGCAGTCTTGATTTTATTGCAAAAGAATCAGAAATTCAGAAATCTTGAGAAACCACACTGTAAAAAAAATCTCAGTCAATATTTTTGTCATGTTTTACAATAAAAATATTTAGACTCTTGAAACAAAATAAAAATGCAAACTGTGTTTGCTTACTGTAATTAATAAATGTAATGTGAAAATGTAAGTTTCTAACAAGCTGCTGCATTTAATTGGCTTTGGACTTGTACTCTGTACAATAACAATAAGTTGAATCTCATCTAACAATTTTTTTTTTCTGCTTAAAGGGATAGTTCACTTTGAAATTATTTTGATATGTTTTAGCTTACCTCAAGGGCATCCATGAAGGTGTCTTTGTTTCCACAGTATTTTCAATTTTGATATTTTTCTGTCAAACCGTTGTTTTCTGTCAGTCATATAATGACGGTATAGGGGGTTCACCTCAAAGAGCATGCACAGAGAACTCCAAATTAAACATGATTTAATGACTTGTCAATGTAAGAACACATTGATGGCCTGAGACACTGAACAAGCGGTTTGTGTGAGAAAACGAACAGTATTTATATCGTTTTTACCTCGTGTAACCACAGCCATGTCCAACTGATCTGAAGGCATGGGCGCTTCGGTCTGCACATGCGCTGGAAGTGATCGTTTGCATTAGTACGTTACTCATCGTTTACACAGAGATTTCGGAAGTTTTACCTTAATCAGTTGGACTGCTAGTAAGACGTTTATTTAACTCCTTACTAGCAGTGACAGTGAGATCCATGTTTTTTCGCACTGGTGACAAGTGAGGGAGTCATACACAATCATTAACCCTGCAAATATTTAGTGATGTTCAAGAAGGAAGCATATGTTAAGGATGGAACTGGATGTAAATTGGTGTAAATTGTTAAAAAAAAAAAATGTATTAATTAATTTAGTCCTGCCCTTCAGAGGCTAAAAAAGATATTAGCATGTAAAACAAAATAATAAAAATTTAAACATCACCATCATCTTGCTCAAAAGTGTACCCCTGGCTCTTAATGCATTGTGTTGCATTCTTGAGCATTACCTTGCAAAAACCTTTTTCTCTTTGCTCCTCAATATATTTTTCACTGTGTGAGAACATGTGGAGTGAGAGCGGAATGGCTTGTCGGACATAGCAACAGTAACTATGAGGAGCGGGTCTTTGTGAAAGGTCAATTTCAAATCATTTAAATCTTGGACTCGGCCGGACTCGACTCGGACTCAGATGTTAAGGACTCGAACTCAAGTCTGACTCGGCCCTCTTTGGACTCGGACTTGGACTCGATTGTTAAGGACTTGGACTCGACTTGACAAAGGTGGACTCAGACCCAAATCTACTGTTTACTGTTATAAAAAAACTGATTTGTTAGCTTTAGTGGAACTAAAGGTGTGAGAATAAACACGGAACGCAAGTGATCGTTGTCATGCGGTAAATCCGGCGAATCGTGGAACAGCTGTGACATCATCAGAGCTTGTGCAGCCGCTCTTGAGAACATGCGCTGGCTGAGAACTCCGGCTACTCTCTTGTGGTACTTTGATAGGATATGTCACAGTCATGCATCAAGTCGGACAAAATTTCTAACCGGCATGCACTGCTTGAATTCATCATGTTATCATTTACTCACCCTGAAGTTGTTGCAAACCTGTATGAGTTTCTTTCTTCTGCTGTTAATCATTTAGCAAAATATCAAAGGAAGAAATTTTGAAGAACGATTGGAACAACAGTTGTTTGGCACCATTGATTTCAATTGTAAAAAAAAAAAAAATACTACGAAAGTCAATGGTGGCAAACAATGGTGGCAAACAACTGGTGGTAAACAACTGTTTGGTTCCAATCATTCTTCAAAATATTTACTTTGTTTAGCAGAAGAAAGAAACTCATACAGGTTTGCAACAACTTGAAGGTGAGTAAATGATGACAGAATTGTCATTTTTGGGTGGAGTATCCCTTTAAGGCCTTTATTAACCAGAGCCATGTGGAGCACTTTTATGATGGACAGATGTAGTTTTATGGACTTCAAAACAGAAACGCCAATTCACTGCCATTATATGACTTGGAAGAGCCAGGACATTTTTTAAATTTAATATACACCTAGAATGACATTGGGGTGAGTAAATCATGGGCTAACTTCCATTTCTTGGTCAACTATCCCTTAAATATACATAGTTATATATATATATATATATATATATATATATATAGAGAGAGAGAGAGAGAGAGAGAGAGAGAGAGAGAGAGAGAGAGAGAGAGAGAGAGAGAGAGAGAGAGAGAGAGAGAGAGAGAGAGAAGAGAGAGAGAGAGAGAGAGAGAGAGAGAGAGAGAGAGAGAGAGAGAGAGAGAGAGAGAGAGAGAGAGAGAGGATATGAGACTTCTTTCAAAAACATAAAAAAATCTTACCAACCCCAAACTTTTGAATGGCAGACATGTATCTTTAAATGAAAGTTTTCTCAACCGATTTTTGCTTTGTTGATTTAAGCATAAATTTTCACTCATTTTTTTTTTTTTTGATTCTATGCTAAAAACTAGAAAAGTGATTCATAATCTTTAAAAAGAATTCATTAGATAATATTTACTATATAACACAAGACAAAAATACTGCTCATGGCATTGTTTTTTTTGTTTTGTTTTTTTGCAGTGTAACAGGCTTCATGACAAAAGAAACTCATTAGAATGCTAAAGTTCAAAATGTGACCTACTCTTCCCCAAATGGGCCATTATGTTTTCTGTGTCCTAGACCTAGTGCATGTTTCCAAGAGATATCACCAACGGACCACTTGGCTGGCATAGTCCTCAGTTGTGGTGACCTGAGGTTGGTTTTCCATACTGGGCTGTTTGCTCTGGTTGACTCGGCGCTCCCTAAGCCAGCGTCTCTCCTCCCGCCTCTTCAATCTCTCCTCCTGCCGCTCACGCTGGCGAATGAACTGGTATCTCTGCAGGAAGAGGTCTTTGGCAAACTCGTACAACTGCATATCCAAAAAATTCAGTTGCTCTATGCGGCTGCGCATGTCGTCGCGCAGCTCCACGTTGGCGGCGCGCGTGCTGTTGATCTGTGTAAAGGCTGAAATGAACCGCAGATGGAAAGTGCGCTCAAACAGGTATTGCGTCTTGCGCTGGAACTCCGTCAGGCCATAGAAGGCCATGTGCTTCAGGTTACTCTTTGCGCTGGCCAAGAGAATGGGGTTCCGTTCGCTCTCGTTCATGGTGGAGAGGTTGTAGCAGCCCACCAGGCTGAGGTCGGCCAGCATGCGCACTTGCCGGTTGTTGGCCAGGTTTGAAGGGCAGTCCATGAACTCGTTTAAAGTGACCCCCGACCAGTCTTCTCCGTTATAGCAGGTGGGTAGCTCGTCCTGTGTGGGAGAGCGACCGTCACACATGTGAAGGGAAGTCTTCCAGGTGGCACCGCGCTGCACGTGTTTCCATTCGCTCAGGTAACGTGACACAGGGTCTCGCAGCATGGTGATATAGTAGAAGTTCCTGGAATGATAATCACAACGTTACTTTAATAAATATATCT